GCTCTAATGATCAATGGCTTCTAACAAGTGACCGTGGTGTGTGTACCAGTGCAGCAGAGGCGAAGGAGCACAAGTATCTGCTCACACTCTGGAAAATTCCACACTGCCATTGTTGTAGGTTTAATTAGAGCAGTGGGTTGACTCAGAGGACCCAGGCTGGAGCGCTTTAGACAGTAATTAAGATTGCTGCAGACAAAATTACAGGCGGAGTCAATGCTTTCCCCTTGGTATTGGTGGCATTGGTCTTTCTCTTGTGTGAGCCACGAACAATGAAATGGATGACTGGTGCTTATGGCAATAGCCATCTCTGAGGGCCACGGCTTGATCTGTCTGGAACAAAAACTCACTGCCTCGCTACACCATCTTCCCATCTTAATCCTGTGGAAATATTGATATGTTGTAATGATTTTCATTCCAGAACTGGCTAGAAAGATACGACTTTAACAGGAAGTGAAAAACATCAATATTACAAACACGTATATAGACAGGCACTGTCATACAGACATTTGATAGAAAGTATATACTTATATTTGGTGTGTGCTAATCTGTTGGAATAAATTATTGGCATGTGGTTTGTGGCAAACTCTTACCTGATGCCTATATCTGTGGTCACTTCTGTGGAGAAATGTCTTGGTATAGCAGCAGATCTGACCAGATTATTCTTGTTCATTTTATTTAGCAGGTGCTCAGCAATAGTAACACCCTTCAGCTGAAGGCAGTTACACAAGAGGATTCTGGGACATACACTTGCAAAGCCATCGTGCCTCGGATTGGTGTGGCAGAGAGAGATGTAACTCTAACCGTCAATGGTAACCAAATGATGTCTTTTTATCTCATTTGTTTTGTTCTCCCCTCGTTCTTTCCCAATTTTGTTCGTGATAAATTATGTTTCAAAGCCACACGAGTTCACGGTTTTTAGTTAGCTTACTAGGGTTTGGAACAAACAGCTGTATTTTTTTTCTGTTAAGTGAATTATCTGATCAGTGAATTGCTTCCCTAATTGATGAGCTTCTTGATGAGCTTCTATATGCATGACCCATGCACTTGGTCTTGAGTACACAAGGAACATCAGCTCTGTGTTTTCTTTGCTTTCATTAGCACCCTTATTCAGTCGATTTCTCTTCATTTCTCTCTTTCACACAAACACTTCAGGCCCTCCCATCATCACGGCTGAGGCCACGCAACAGGCCGTCAAGCATTCCAAGGGCAAGATGGAGTGCCTAGTGGGCAGCAGCCCTCCTCCTGACAAGATTGTAAGTATACATTCTCCTATTTCTCTATGTATGTGGTTGCTAGGTATCTGACGCTTAGTGTAGCCTTATTCCTGACAAGCTTGTTTGTGAGCCTTTCCCTTGAGCAGGTGCTTTCGGTGTGTGCACATCACATGCTGAAGCTCCCTTCCCCTCTCCCTCCAACAAGATCTCATGCGAGACTCCTCTTTCCTTGCTCCTGTCTCTCTCTTTCCATATCTGACACCCACACAAATACACACATGCACAGCTACACAGCCCAATTCCCCTATTAGAGAGTGCGCGATGAGAGGGCTGATCCTGTATCTCACCTTTTCCACCCTCAAGTGTGCAGAGGCGAACTGCACTAATGCCAGGGTCTGCAGAGAAGACCTCAGGCCCCATAGGCTCCTTTCCAACGGCGAGCAATTAGCGCATAGCACCACTGACCTCCCATCGCCCCCATCGTACGTGGGAAGGCCTTTCAGTGGATAATTAGGGTCTAAGTTGGAGAGACATCAAGAAGAAGGGTAAAGCATAGAGATGCACCGAGACAGATGGAAGTTAAGCAAGGGTAACTGAAAACAGTGATGCAAAGAAGGAATCAGAGACAAAGAAAAAAAAAACTCCTGATCCTGGAAACAGTGACAGGTGGGGATTCGGGGTGTTAATGGCTGTTATTTCTTTACCTGAGGCCAGTCAAGGGAGGACTTCTCAGACATGCTGTTTCACCTCTTTGCCAGAAAGGTGAAAGAAAAAAAACAATGGCTTGTTCTCTCTCCCTGAGTAGCTTTGAGATCTCAGACTGATCTGCTGCTAGACAGGAGCTGGTTGTCTTCCCCGCATGTTTTTTCACTAAGCTCTTTTTCACAAGCCGAGACACAATACTGTTGGTAAACCAGCTCGAAATGACAGCATAAAAGAGCACAAGAAAAATTCCAATCTCTGACACCTAGTTTATGACACTGAACGTCTACTTCTGGAGTGATAAATCTTTACACGCATGTCCTAAATTCTGCTATACTAAAAATGCCACTTTAGTTGTTCTGTTGTGTTGGCTGGACTAGGCTTGAATATACAATGAGATTTTAAGTCAACCTGGAATCAAAATCGACCCTATTTACTTCATACATGTTCCTGGTCACATTGTGAACAATGGAATGGTGCATGTTATGAAAAAATATATATTTTGTCTTTGCAATTCCAAACTTTCCGTTTGACATCAAGAATCCCTCTTGCCTTTTCATGATCAAATCAACAAAAATGTAATTGTCATTTTATGCTTAAATAAAATGTAAGTATAAAGACTGTTGCTGCACCTTACACCTTGCTATCTCTTCCTCCTCAGGTATGGACATTTGGGGACATGATCTTGTCATCTGGCTCTTCTGGTCGTTTTTCCGTGCAGACAGTACACAGTGACCGAGGGGTCCTCTCCTCGCTAATCCTCTCAGAGACCCTGGCACAAGATTTCCAGCTTCGATACAACTGCACTGCTTGGAACCGCTTCGGTACAGGCACGACACTGGTCACTCTTGAAGAGCAAGGTATGGGGTCCTCATGCCAGATAATCCTGTGTAAAACACCCTTTTATTCAAAAGCAATATAGTACCGGTCAAAAGTTTGGACACACCTAATTCCTTATTTTTACTATGTTCCAACTTTTATAATGGTGGTAGTCATTAAGTTATGAAATGACATAAAATGAAGTATGAATATTAAGTAGTGATCAAACATGTTAAATAAAAAACTTTTACATTTTAGGTTCTTTGAAGTAGATAGCCCTAGATTACATCTCTGACTTGAGATTCTTTTAAACAGTATTTAATTAAAATCAGCATTGAGTTTACATGTATGCTTCGCACTTGTCCCCCTCCCACCACTCGTCAATTTAAAAAAAAAGTTAACCTTAAACCTTTAGATCAAAAGCTTCTCAAGACTGAGAAACAATTTCATTCAAGTGTGTCCATACTTTTGACTGGTAGTGTAGATCAGTGAGTGTTTGGGGAAATGTTCTGGGAAATGTTGGGTCTGGAGAGTCAAAAATTGGAGGGGTGAGAAGCAAGCAACTGAAAGTAAAGTGAGAAACGTGGCAGGAGTTTTAGATTTGTGGATGGGCCAAGCTCTTTTGGTACCATCTCTTTAATTATTGAAGAAAAGTTGATTTTAAAACACTGACAGTAAGTTGTAGGGTTTGTCCACCTTAGAGTTGGTGCCTTTTATCTAAGATTAGACATGACCAGCTGTAATCCAGTTTGAGTCAGTTCTATGCAGGAATCAAGTTTCAAAACACCCTGCAATCCTGTGCTTATCTTAATTATACACCACCAAATCAATATAATTTAATCAGGAGATGTTTCACTTAATGAATACATTCGTTCCATAACAAATATATAGATTTTGAGCCTGAATGAATTAAATCAAGACCTAATGTATGGCATGGGTATGTAACGCTTCACTGACCGTTTCATTTTGTATGCACAGTGCACTGGCTTAAATTTGCTTAAATAAGACTAAGAGCGTGGTAGACGACTTGAGCCTTTGTACTGGGAGACACCAAAAATAAGGTCTTCGCCAGCAATTTGCATCAAGGCAGCAGAGCCAAGTCTCTGGAGAGGCAGACAGTGCTATCTCCTGGAATCTCTAATTAGATTACTGTCGGCTGCCTCACTGCATGTCAGGCCTGGTTACCCCTCTTCCACCAGAGATTAGAGACAATAGCCTGTTCCTGTGATGCCACTGTGGATCACACTAGATTAATTTCTATATGTTGCACTTGAGTTTGGACGTGGCTTGGAAAAAGAGCTTCTTTGTAGAACGCGTTTGACAAGCAGAGAGCTTTTCTTCAATCAGCTGGAGATCCAAAATACCTTTTGATAATATGAAAATTAAAGAACCTCACAAAGAAAATGTCAAGAACATGTCTGGGTCATAATTTAGCCCCAAACTTTAAAGAAAAAAAAAATATATATATATTTTGCACAAGGAAAATTAACCCCATTTAGGGTCATTAAAATATATTGTGACATTTTTATGAAAATTACAGAATTACCCAGTTCACTTGTAAAAGTTAATTGAAATTATGTGGTAGCATTTGTTGTACTAAATTTAATTTACAAATGTGCTTTGCAAATGTGCAAAAAAAATCAAAAATAGACTACTTTCTTCATACACAGTTTTTTTTTTCCTTTTCTTTCTTTTTTTTTAGAATTATATTTAAATAAGTTTATGGCAGGTCAAAAAGTGTAAAAGGACAAACGAAGCATTATGGACGTTATAATAGAAACATATAAAATCCACTTGTAATGAAATGAAAGCCTGAATTTGGATCATCTGCATACCCTGCAACTGAAAAGGTAGATGTAATAATAGATGTAATTCAGCTCAGTCACATTCCCTGTTTCCCTTGCAGAGGCCCTCCCCTTGCTAATCATCATTGGAGCATCGGTGGGCGGAGGCTGTGTCTTCATCGTTTGTGTCATTACCCTGGTTTCCATCTGCTGCCGCCACACTGCTAAAGGTGAGGTCAAAGGTCAGATGTTATCTGAGAGTTCTTATTCGCTCCTCAAAAACATGATACAGTAGAAATCAAACGAACTAACTAGACAGAGGTTAATTATGGGGCCACCTCTTTGCCTGGAGCAGTGTTGACCTTTTCACCTCTCTGGAAATCTTCCCACCGTTCACCTCATTAATCTCTATACACTGCACTATTTCCTCACCCAGGCAAAAAGGGCACACGCCTGTCTAAGAGCGACATCCGCGTACAAATCGTGCACAGCGACCACAACGCAGCAAGAGGAAACGACGATGAAGAGGATGTGAAGGAGCCTATGGTAAGTCACTCTCAAAACAAAAAAGAAATACTTAGAATGGCCTAATAGATAGAAATATCTTTTATACCGTTTTGTTCCCGCTATGCTGCAGGAAAAACATGAAAACATCAACAGCAATACAACTCATTTTAATTTTAAAATATATTCCCTGATTTCTGAGGGAAATGGGATACTCAATAAGAAAACAAAATGTTAGGCTATACTTCCTTGTATCCATCAGGACCAAAAATATGTAGGACTTAGTGACATTAGCCAAAAAGTAAAGTCATTTATTATATTTTGCTGAAAGACAGTAAAAAAACACATATATCACAAGAAGACCAGGAGTTAGGGACAATATTAATTATGATTGCATGACATTTAACATACCATAGACACCAAGCAGTTTGTAACCCAAATCTCTGTACTCTTCTCAGGCTCCCAACAGCAGTGAGTCTCCAGGAACATCTCGCACAGAGCACAGCGACCTGCTGGAAGAGGAGGATGATGAGAGATCAGATATCAAGGTATTACATTTCACAAAGCATGACTCGGATGGTTAATCTGATAAAAGCAAAAGGTTGTTTTCAAAGGTTTGAGGAAACTATTGTACTTAACACAATCTTGCTGAGATCGTATTTGTATTACACCACAAGCTTGGATCATGTTCAAGAAAACCTACAATTCTTGGTCAGTTTCTAACTTGTAGCTAGCACCTTATTAAAATAATTGGCATGTATTTCATTCTGTACAAGATTTTGTTATTTATCTGACAATGTTTTCTTTTGTTCTTCCTAGGACCCCACCAATGGCTACTACAATGTGCGGGCTCACGAGGACCGCCACATTACAAGAACTGGCTTCTCCGAATATGTCCCTAATGCTCGCCCAGTCTACACTCCCTCTCAGCTTCCCTCGCCGAGCCCCTTATACGGCCAGCACTCCACTCAGCCTCGGATTTATGACTTCTCCCAGCGTTATGCCACAACCCCTGCCACACGCACCACCTATGAGCAACAGCAGTCACAACAACCACAGCAACAACAGCAAACTCCCACCATCTACCCTCAGGAGCCAGTCTATGTGGGCTCCGCCTACCTGCCCGCCACCTATGGCCGCGCCTTCACAAGCTACGTCAAACCCCCATCCTGTGAGAAGGTTGATGGGTATGAGCATTCAGACCAGGCCAGCAAGGTGTCCAGCTCCTCTCGATTCTCATACGCATCCTCGCAGGTGTCGTCGCAGCAGTCTGACTACGGACGGCCCTCTCAGCAACGCATGCAGACTCATGTGTGATGGCTCCCTCGAAGACCCACTGAGGGTCTGGCATGATCAACGTCATGATCAACAAGGACTTTCTTCTGAATGAGTTCAGGAGGGATTAAGCAAACTTTAAACTGAGATTCAAGAGGTGGAAAAGCTTTATTGCTGTATTGAAGTGAATGTTGGATCAATGGGAAACTTCTTTCGAAAGAACTACAACGTGCCACTCAAGCTTGGAAGTCACCATCAAGCTACTAATTTTCTTTGTCCAAACGTTGAACTTTTAAGGGAAATAAACACCGTCCATCAATCCGTCTCTATGGCACTGTATTTCCATTAAAAAAGGTTCCAGCACTGATCCTTCTAGATCTTGGAGAAGGAACGCAGTGCTGTGGAGAAGGGAAGTGTCCTCATGAACTAACCATTGCAAATGGGGACATGCTTATGACACTATGCTGAAACAATCAAAATGACATGAACTTAAAAAAAAAAAGTGTTTGTTGGCATGATGATGGAATTGTAAGCACATTTGTGTATCAATGACAACAGGTCTTGCCTACACAAAGTGGCTCAAAATTCAATCCACAAAGCAGGGGAGCAGAAGAAAGCAGAGCGCATATTTCTTCAGAAGCTCTATCTGCAGTCTGCACTGCTGTTGGGGGTCGCAAGAGAGTATTTATGTAAAGCCTCAATGGACCAGTGCAGGAAACTGGAATGCTTTGGTAAAAAAAAAAATATATGGACAAAATCCATAAAATATATTTCTGTCTGTTTGATAGAAACCAGATTGGCCAATCCCCAAAGAAGCAAATTTAGAGGTGCGGTCTTTTTAAACTATACTCTCAAGGACTTGTTGCAGAGTTCAGAGTAGAGCCCATTTCGGGACCACAGTTTCTTAAGTCGAGCCATACGGCAAACCTAAATTACAGCACAGCCTTGCAGCGTGCAGTAATAATCTTGTAATGTTCCTTATGTGACCACTGTATGTTATTAAATACAGAGTGTGCCAAGGTGACTGTTATGTCATGCTGACATGGCTGACACTGTCAGGTAGCACCAACATGTTTACATAGAAGAAGAAAAAAAGAAAGAAAAAAAAGAAATAGCAAGTGAAATGCAGTACTGTCCATATCCACTTAGAGCCACTTCAATGACTGTACAAATTGTTGGGAAATTCATTCCTGTCTGTTGCATGCAGATGATGTGTGTATGTGAACGTATTCAGCATTTCTTCTCATCTGTTTGTTCCTTGTGTGAGAAACCGCTTACTGCACCCTACGCCAATTCGATCTTGGATACCTGCATTTGGAAGTTTCCATACTGCCATTTTCCTTTGAGCCTGAATGGTCGGCTCCATTTGGAAAGATAAAAAAAGTCAAAATGAACATTGCTTGTCTTTATTTTTATATTTTATATAAGCCTTAATGTACAGAGTGTAAGCTGCTCTATTGTAAAATACCTTTATATTATAAAATGCATATATCTATATCTTTGAGTTGACTTTATTTGGTTCACAATGGTTTTTACCCCATGTTACTTATCAGTTTTGAAGAGGTGAAAGGTGTTACACAACTAATTGACTTTTTCCTTCCGTTTCTTTTTTTAATAATGTTCAAATAATTTTATTCGCTAAAAATGAGCTATTGTTGCTTGTAACTTTGTACACATATTTATATTTAAATAAAACCATTTCAAATAATATCTGCTCTGACTGGAGTGAGTTTGGCACACATCGCTGGGTCTCGTCAAATGTCATGAGGAAATGAGGACAAACAATACCGGGCCTGCCGAGTTGATGAATACATAAAATAGCAGTGATGCCTATGTTGATTCTCTTATTCCCGCAGCGACAGCAGGGTTTTTAATAAAGACGGATGAGATTCCCAAGCCTCCCGCTGTCTGCGTATCAAACATAGCAGCCACAGGCCGTCTCCCGCAACGCAACCAAATATTGCGCTGACGGAGCGGGTGTCGTGTGACAACATTATCTTGTCGTGTCACCCAAACTCTCAGATTTCATCATGTCACGCCGAGCTTCACCGCAGGGAGTGTTGAAGACATAAACACGTACTCAGCATTAAACAAATGAACTGACGGCTACTCTGGTAAATTGAGGGTCATGTTTCCATCAGCTGTCATCATCCCTTGCATACAATGAACACTGCCGAAAATAACCAAACAAGAAAGAATATAATGTGCAAACCAGGTAACATACAATGCAAACTCTGTTATCCTTAAAGGGGTCATATGATGCAATTTCAATTTTTCCTTTCTCTTTGGAGTGTTACAAGCTCTTGGTGCATAAAGAAGATCTGTAAAGTTGCAAAGACTAAAGTCTCAAATCCAAAGAGTTATTCTTTATAAAAGTTAACCCCTTTAAGACAGTGAGAAGACAGCGACACTCAGTGAGTATCTTGTGAACAAAAATGGCAAGTTTTTATCTCCCGTGGTGATATAATAACAGAAAGAATAACTAATTTTTAACGAGTTAGGTTAGTAGTACTGACTGAAAAAATCCCTATATTCAGGGGTACACATAAGTGGTCCGCAAGTCCGCATGCGCGACCAAAATAAGAAATGCGCTGTGTAAATTAGTTCAGAGCGCGCGTTTGCGTATCGATATGGTTGACAGCTGTTTTGCACAATTACAATTTTAGACCGACAAACTGTACTGTATAAGGTTTCTATTCAAACTGAAAGCATATATCTATGCTACCCGCTGCCGTTTTCAAAGCACAACGCAAAACTATGACATTTCATTCACTGACGCTCTACAATCGGCAGCGCTAAACCCAGAAGCGCATATACTTACTTGCCGGCAACCCGCCAAAATAAAAGCTTGCTGATTTTAAGTTTGAAAATGAAAAATTAAAATAATTCAAATTAAAAATAATAATTAAGGTTAAAATTAAAATAATAATAATAATAAAAATTAAAAAAAATATTAGCATTTTATTTTTAAGTTTACTATAAAAATAATTGTATTTGTATTTAATACTCCCTTTTTATTTTTAAATATGTGCCGTGTGAGGACCAAACCAAATCTCCAGGTTCTCATATGAGAACCAGGCTGAAAAACGTATGTGCACCCCTGCCTATATTGGCAGATAGAATGTATGTTATGAAACCTAATAAGGATGTTAATTGTCACAAATGCTAACGTTAGTTCTCTAATCTCCTGACACACGTTGTCTTTCTGAGGTGAATTCTCAGTTGAGATGCCTGGCGTCTAACGTGCTGTCCATGGAGCTGATACTAAGTGATAAATCGACAAATTCTTAACGCATTAATAATACAATTTATATATTTCCTGGTTACATGATAAAAAAAATGAAATTAAGCACAAAAACAGCTATACACGTTCGCTAAAGAGTTTCTACTCACCGAACACGCGCCATGCAGCTTCCAGGATGCCCAACGGTTTTTGCGTAATTTACATAAAATTGAATATTTATAACGCAAAATGAATCTCACCAATCAGACGACCCGTGAACGTCAGGCAGCAGGTAAATGAACAAAAGGTACTGTAATGGAAGTATGGTATAGAAAAATTGCATAAACTAAAGGTTAGCTTGATTTAAATCATGTGTTTCGTTTACCACAATGCTTTGTTTCGATCATTTGATTATATTTCTCCATTAGGTAGTAAGTGATTGTGACCTTTGGTTGCCTGGATACCGTATAGGCCCTATGTGCAATATGCTGAAGTGCAAGAGTTGTTATCACATCGATTGGAGAAAAGGTTGAACACCAATCTAAAGCTCATACAAGGTCAAATCTGGCATGTAATTAGCCTAAATTCAGTATTCTGTCAACCATTTAAAACAATTGTTGCAGTGCAGTGCTTAATTAAACCTACAGCTTTTTAATTGGTGCAAGGTCAAAACTAAGTATTCACATCTGTAAAAAAGACATGCTGTGTATTTTCTCATATCAACTGAAAAAAAGAGAGTAGATTTATGATGCTTTCTTGTTTTGTTTTCCATTAGGAGGCCACTGATTTATGCGCAAATAATTCTTGAAGGCAATGTTGACGTTGTTTTATACCAAGGCCAGCTGATTTGATTTTGCCGAAACTGTTTTGAGTTTTCTTTACTAAATTCTGCATTTTAGGGGGAAATTAAATTACTTGGAAATTATCCAAAACACTGTATTCTGGAGAGAAAGAAAAACACTAAAGTAATGAAAAACCAGCATGTATTTTATTGTCAAGAAAACATTATAAACTCCAGGAAAATTTGCATACATTAAAACATTTGCATAGTGATAAAATATAAAACACAACAAAACAGAAAAGACCAAGTTACATGAACAAAACAAAAAGCATTTAGTCACCCAGACACTTAAGGCCATAGATAAGCATTGCAGTTTTAAAAACAATTTAAAGTTGTTTGAAATTTACACAATTTAAAAATGAAATCCTAACAAGCCCTCAATAGGTCAAATTGCACATCATGATGCTATATGAAACTTCTGTAGTACATAAATACAGCATCTATTGCTTGACATCTCTCAAAATACAGCGAACGTCTCTTGTACCTCCTGGGAAATTAAGTCACTACACCACAAAGCCTGAAAATCTTACTAAGCAAGTGGACTTTCCATGGGAAAGAAACTTGCCAAGTCTATAAGGAAGCAGCAGTATAGATTCCTCGATACCTTCGGGCCTCTTTAAAGGAGAGACCATCCTGCTTTGACATTGATTGGCTGGAACTTTAACATGCAGCAGAAGTGTGTGACCCATGTTGGCCTTGGTTGTATTGGCAAATGGATGACGGAAATATCCTATTTTTACCTAATCCTCCATTTCAGAGCTTTGGCACTGAGGTTCTGACATCACAAAGATGTGAGGAAAGAAGGTCAGCCTGAGTGAGATGCTTACAGAAATTTCTAGATTGCAAAGAAGCTTTTGACCTTTGCTTAAAAGGGAAAAAAAAAAATGTAGGGATTGATGCTACCTCCAAAGCCAAAGAGTCATTGTTTCTGAGAAGAGGCAGGGTCCAGTCTTTGGAACAAAGGCACGCTTTGAGCATAAGAAAAAGTCATTTTAAACCGAATATAATTCAAAGATAACAACATGACTACCACCAGGTCATAAGTGTTGGCACTCTCATTATAGGACAGTTTGATCTCTAAGTGCCATTTATGAAGTTATATATATTCTCATTATAGTGGTGTCTGCATGTATTTTATTAACCATTTTATTTGGTTGACTAAAGCTGAAGTCAACTTTTGATTGATACAGCTATGAAAAACATTCATAAGCCATAACAACCAAATAGTCATACTGAATGAAAATGCTATTATGAAAACGACCAGGAGGTCTGAAACGTATGCAAGTTCAATCTGAATTAATTTTTTTCTCACAAAGGATGTCGACCAAAGTTGTAATCACTTTTGCTTTTGTGAGTGCGGCTCACATACTGTACTAAATATTCATGGAACTCAACATTTGTGTTCTTCTGCTTTGGTTGTCGTATGATTGCAGGTCCAGGCTTCACTATATGTTTGTGATTTCACGGATCCATTCCCGCAGTTTGGTGACACGCGTGTAGACGCCAGGCTTGTTCCGCTGAGCGCAGCCTTCTCCCCAGCTCACTATGCCAGCCTGGAACCATTTGCCTACATCGGAACGACACACAAGAGGACCGCCGGAGTCTCCCTGTGGAAGCCAAAAGAAAGAAACTTTTAAACGTCATTCCACATTTTCCAAAACTCGATGAAATGCATGGACACTACACATATTTGATCACCGTATTTAAAAGTTGCCTGTTGATCTATTCTAGAGAATGTTCTTTAATGCATCACTGAATGTTTATTTGATTTTTATTGTATATTGTGATTATTTATTTTAGTGTTAATGCGGAATTATTTTGTATTTATTTTTCCCGTTTTTTTTATTGTGTGTATTGATGCTTTGGCAATATTGTATATAAAACAATCATGCCAATAAAGTGCTTAAAATTGAAAGAGGAGATGAAGTGATGATTATGTATATGAGAAACTGGAAAAAAGGTGTGTGTGTGAAGCAATTGCAAACGTTTTAATTATTATTGTAACCACTTATCATTTATTATTTTGTACCTCTAATTTAAGCTGCTTATTTACTGGGTCATTTCATTCCATTACTATTATTCCTGAATGATTTGTTTTGTGTGTAATACAATTCGGCTCTTAATTACTAATTACTCTTAAAAACAGACGTGGCAATAAAGCATATTTGAATTGGGAGGTGAGAGGAGAGAGAGAAGACGACAAAACAGCTAAGCGAATGAAAGAATATTACAGAGGGTGAGAAAGATGGAGCAAAGTACAAAGACAGAGAGAGAAAATCTATGAGCTCCTACAGCAGGAGAGGAAGATAGAAAGGAGTCACAAGACCAGGACCGGAACCTGTGCGAGAGAAAAGCACACTAAGAAGATTACACCCAGAATAAGAGAGACGCACAGAGCGTTCAGAAGAGGAAAGCAAGATGAATAACAAGTGAGATAGAAGTAGAAATTATGGAAATCAGCTCATTTAAATATCAGGGAACAAGGTAGAATAATTAATCTTCTCCACTACGAGGCTGTACACACACTGCTGGAAGACAACAACATTAGCTGAACACTTTGACGGCATTATGCTCATGTCATATCTGTACTGTAGGTGTTTCTGAATGAATAGAACAGGACAAAAAAAGACTTATCCCTGCTGGGCTTGACAATGCATCTAAATGGCTATTAAACCACCTTGAATTCATTAACATTCAATAAATGTGTAATTTTGCATGTGTTGTAGATTTCAGATTTTCAATTTACAACTGGGGTGGAGGCATTATGATTTTGAGTCTGTAAATGCCCATTTAAAAAATAGTGGTATAACAGCCCAACATGTACAGTTGTTCGGCAAATTTTCATTGTTGAAACGCGGTTGAAAGACTAATTTTAATAGGAATCTGCGCAATCTACAATTTCGCCTGAGAGCGAAAGATTTCCCTACGCAGATTTCGCATTAAGTTCAAGTTGGTCCATGTTGACCAACAAACCGAAAGCTACTTGGTTTGAAAATGTCTATGTTAGCACTGCAAAATTCCATGTAAAAATTTCATACATTGCTACACTATTGACAATGGACATTTTTTTTTTACATTAAAGGGGTCATATGATGCGATTTCAATTTTTCCTCGGCCGCACCGTTCTCAAGCCCGCCGCCGCTCATTCAATCCCGCTGTGTGTGACGCTGTGTGTTTCGTTGTGAAAGCTAAACTACTTTGTTTGGCCTTCCAAAAGAGGACACGACTAGAAATCAATGGTAAAGTTGTATTTACAACACTGTTCCAGAACAGTTCAACCCAAATCTGGATGTTCTGGTCCCGCAGACCACTGTACGTCAGCCAGTTGGATGTTATTTTGTAGCTGTTGACAATGGACACAGTGTTGTGGAGGTTAGTTGTTTAAATCAGATGTTTTGAAAGGTCAACATGAAATGGTGTTCAAAATCATTATAAATCTGTAATTTGACAGAAAAACTGAGGAAATGTGAATAACCACACTTTACAATTGTTTTTAAATTCACTGAAACACCAAAAGCTTGTGGAAACACACTGGAAAGCTTATTATCTTCAAATGATTTTACAATAAAGACACTAGGTGGATGTTACAACTAAAATGTTAAACCAATAATCTGATAATTGTATTTGCTTATATAATATCTAATTTGAGGATGTTGGAAGAGACAATCTGAACTTTTACACTAATCAGCACATTGCGGATGATGCAGCAACGTCTGGATGTTACAATTGTTAACGGAAAACACCAAAAAGCTTGTAAAAACACACCGGGAAGCTTATTATCTTCAAATGCCGTTGTGACTAAAAGGTTATACCAATAATCTGATGATTGCATTTGCTTATATAATGCATAATTTGAAGCTGTTGGAAGAGACAATGGAAGCTGTTTTGGAGTTTAGTTGTTTTGAACGCTGTAATTTGACAAGAAATCAGAAGATTCAATGATAAAAAGTATGGGCAGGATTGTAAAACGCTGTGTGTATAGGACATCTATATGAAGAGGGACTGAAAAATAAGAGGGCTTGGTGATTTCAGCCGAATTACAAAGATTAAAAACAAAACATTTGTGCACTGATGTATCACTCATATCACAATAATGCCAGAAATGTTTATTAAGAAAGCAAATGGGGTCCATTTTGATTTCATGCTGAAACCATAGCGCAGGAGAGCAAATTATTTTTCAATTCAGCTTTAGCATTTCAGTCTCAGAAACATGTTAGAATAATTAATCAAGGACAAGTATTGCATGTCTTGTGCTCCACCTGCTGGCCAATGAAAATAAACACAAACCCAGGCTTTGATACAACACAGAGCTCAGATGTTGGATGGTGTTTGAGCACAAAGCGAATGGAGAAAGATACTTAGTAAATGTCTAATTTATGTCTGTGATAAATTACCATTAACTACAGCTAAATTAAGCAGAGAAAAATAAAATACAGCACTACAAAGATTAAAAACAAAACATTTGTGCACTGATGTATCACTCATATCACAATAATGCCAGAAATGTTTATTAAGAAAGCAAATGGGGTCCATTTTGATTTCATGCTGAAACCATAGCGCAGGAGAGCAAATTATTTTTCAATTCAGCTTTAGCATTTCAGTCTCAGAAACATGTTAGAATAATTAATCAAGGACAAGTATTGCATGTCTTGTGCTCCACCTGCTGGCCAATGAAAATAAACACAAGCCCAGGCTTTGATACAACACAGAGCTCAGATGTTGGATGGTGTTTGAGCACAAAAATGGAGAAAGATACTTAGTAAATGTCTAATTTATGTCTGTGATAAATTACCATTAACTACAGCTAAATTAAGCAGAGAAAAATAAAATACAGCACTAACACTAACAGCCGTACAGAGATGCAATAAACTGACTCACGCTGAATCAGGCTGGATGAAGCAGTGGGCAGCGGACAGCAGCCATTTGTTGGAGATGATTGAGGCACCGCAAACGTGTCCGCTGGTCTTAAAATGTAGACTGACCTGCCATGGCCATTCACCCACATCTGCGTTCTGCCCACCCACAATACGGTTGTGCTTGTATGGCCGGACTCCACAGTCTGAAATCAAATTGTAAGAACGGTTCAAACACAGACTTCAAGGAAGACAACGGAAGGGATAGCATTGGTATGCTGAGATGAGAGGTGATGGGGGTCTTGAACATGACCAGCAGGGATAAGATCAGAGAGTTGACTGCAAAACTGTTTGCACTGAAAGATGGCGAGTTTCTTGTAACATCTGCTCTGACTCACAGGACCGTCGGCCTTTAGCGGGACTAAAGCAGAATCATAACAAGATAGATATATGGAGGAATGAACCGTGCTGGCTGATAAAAACACAATGAGGAAGGAAAAAGAAACTAGCAACCCTGAGGACTACAACAGAAGAATAATGTCATGTAAGGTTTCATAAAAAAAATATAATGGCTTGGAGCTTGAATGTGATTTTTTTACACTAATTACCACATTGTTGATGATGCAGCAACATCTGGAAATTACAATTGCTTTTAAATTCATTGAAACACCAAAAGCTTGTGAAACTGGGAAGCTCATTATCTTCAAATGATTATACAATAAAGACACTAGAGGTGGGCGGTATGACAAAGTTCATACTGATAATTGTATTTGCATATATAATTATAATGATGTTACATATTATAAATCTATATTACTTTCAAATTAAAACTAACTACAATTATAACAAATGGATTTTAACAATTCATTTGGTTTCACAAAAGAGTTTGTCTGAAATAAATTTTACTGTGCATCTCAAAGAATTATTAATAAAAGTTAAGGGATACATATTTGGTGGGTAATAATCAACTGGCAATGCCTTTTTATTAAACAGTGAATTAAATACTTTACAAAAAGGTACTTCATCTAAAGTACATTCATAACAAATAAATGATAAATCTGGCATCAGTGCAGCTTCACATTATGTAACACTTGAGCGGAAAATAAAACTGTTGTTCTGAATACCAGCACAGCTTCGTATTCATAAAAAGTTCTTAATATTGCGCCATACATGGCCATGTACTATGCAACACAGACTATAAAAGCAAAAATACAATAAAAAATGTGACTTACCACATCCCTGTTCATCTGAACCATCCGAGCAGTCCTTTTCGCGATCACACTCTGCGTTCACTTTGTTTACACACTGCTTGTTTTCACATTTGAAGGAGAAATCATTGCAGACACCAGCCGCTAAGAGAGGAAGAGATTATAGATAAAGTAAAACTTGAGGTAAATGAGCGTAATACAACATCAAGTGCAGCTTCTTTTCATCACCAAAGACCTACGCCTCGTTCATGGCAATATCTTATCTCTGCTGAATGATACAAAAACAATGAACAACTTTGGGATAGAAAGAGTGGGCGGTAAAGAAGTTTACATAGTAGAATAAAGTAAAAATTGTGATTTCACTACCATTTCTGCACAAGTGTTGAAATTATTGCACACAAGTGTCTATTTTGCATTTTAAAAGCAGACTAATTATCATATTAATTAATGGTTCTCAACATGCAGTGGAAGATATTAATATAAGTCAGTTTAACAACTGCAGAAGTGGAGAAACTTCTCAGAAGCCAGCAGAAAATGTTTAAAATGATCACAATTCAAATACAGCTGACTGATTAAAGTTACATTTAAAACATCCACAAACACTCAAAACCTCTAAATATTTTAATTCACCTTTTCAGTGACTGGCTATTTACTGTGACAACAAACTTTCCATTTTTACCTAACTTTAACTTTTTGACATTAGAGACCCTAAACTACAGACACGTAGGCTAGTCTCACTACAAATGAACATCCAGCCCAGCAATAGAAAGCACTGTAATATTTTATGATTTGATGTATTTTTTATTCATTTGGACTGAATTTTATATACCCCTGAATAGTGTTTGAATTGCAATTCTGTAAATTTATCTTCCTGTCATTCCACATCAGTATCCTGCTGGACAGAGGTAATTCAATTCAAAGGTTTAAATTAAATTTAGCAAAATCCTGACAGGGATGAGACTTACGGCAGCTTTTCTCATCACTCATGTCTTCGCAGTCATTCCACCCATCACAGTGCTGCTCTTTTTTGATGCAGTAGCCTGAGGTGCACGCGAACTGACCCGGGCAAGCTGGAGATGAAATTCATGAGGGTAAAAACAGGAAGACGGCCAGAACTCAACACAAAGGAGAAGTGAAAGAGTTCTAATGATAGAATAATGTGATCTGTTGGTTTTAAATGGTCCAGAATCAAAATTTCATCACTGCATTTGGCTGGCCATATTAAAACACTGGGCTTACGTACGGTTTACAGGGTCAAAGGCGGTGTAAATGATCCTGAATCCCTTATCAGTGTAGGATTCATCTGAATGGAACTTCACTTCCAAGGAATTGGTGGTGCTAGAAAGAACAAGTCTACGTCTCTCTCCACAATACCTTCAAAAATGGAGAAAGGAAAGAAGTGTTAATACAACAAAGGCTAAGAAAACCAAAAATGAATTGGCAACAGACTACTGCAGATGGTTTCCAGCTAAATTAACACTAAATTTATTTATTGGGCCTTTTGCCATTTTATTTCATAGACTGTCAGCAAGCTGACAAGAAACAATGAGGGAAATCTTTCTGGCTGGCATGGCAGGACAGATGACAGAACTTACTTTTTACCCAGCACCTCTACGTAGTCTTTGTGACAGCTGCTAGTGTCCACCCCCGGCTCTTTCACACGGAACATATTGAACTCAATCTTTATCCTTCTGCCAGCAGGAACCTGCAGAACCCACATGATAGTGTTCAGGGTTATTTTCAAAAAGGCGTAACTCAATAATAAAAGAGCATAATGATACAATTGAAATACTTTGTTAATCAAGAAGAGTAGTTCATTCAAATATGAAAATGTTGTCTTCATTTATTCACCATCATATTGTTCCGAGTCTGACACCTTATTATTGTCTTTATTTTGTGAAACATAAAATGAGATGTTAAGCAGAATGCCTGCTCTACATTCATGTAGTCTACACCACTTATGATCTGTATTTCAAGGAAAACATGCAACCAAAATGAGTTATAAGCTGAAACAAATCTTGCAATTTGCCAGATCTCTCAAATCTCACTCACACTTGCTCAGTTCAAAAATTGCACCTTTAGACAAATATTTACTTTCATAAAATACATACACTACTGTTCTAAACTTTAAGATTTGTTCATGTTTTTGAAAAAAAACAAGTCTCTTATGTTCAGCTAGACTTATTTTTTATCAAAAATACAGTAAAACAGTAATATTGTAAACTATTATTATAATTTAAAATAAATGTTTTCTATTTTAATATTTAAAAATGTAATTTATTCCTGTAATGGCAAAGTTTAATTTTCAGCATCATTACTCCAGTCTTCAGTGTCACATGATTCTAATCAAATCATTCTAATTTGATTCATTTGCTGCGAAAATCAATGTTGAAAACAGCTGTGCGGTTTACTTTTTTTTTTTAGAAACACTGATTAACCGTGATCAGTTTAACGCATCCTTACTGGAAAAATGCATTCATTTAAAAACATTACATTATACCTAACATCTCCTTTTACACTGATTAACCGTGATCAGTTACTGGAAACTGATCACGAACGCATGCATCTGAACTGAACGCATCCTTACTGGAAAAATGCATTCATTTAAAAACATTACATTATACCTAACATCTCCTTTTGTGTTTCATGGAAGAAGAACAGATATTACAGAGTTCTCTCTATTGGTAAATAAAGAAAAGTGAAACAGTCCTGTGGGGCTTACATTGATGTTCCAGTTGCAGTCCAACAAAGGAGGATAGAAACTAGGAAAATGAGGAGAGGTGAAGTTTCCTGTGGGAGCAGTCAGAGATTCTCCACAGCTCTCAGCTAGAAATTAATATGAGGGGGAAATGAATGGAAAACAGATATTATGACATGGAACACTTCCTAGTCCAATTCAACATTCTTTTTCGAGTTTCAAGGCAGACGTTGCAAGTGTCTACAAAGACTTATGACTTTATAGAATATTAAAGCATTTGTACAGAATGATCAATGACTTTACCAGCAATAGTGGGAACGGCAGCGTAAACCGCTCTGAATCCAGGTCTCCGGGCCACATCTGTGATTAGGTTGACAAGCATGATGTTACCAGAAGAAACTACCTCAAGTGGATTTGTTGGAGGTCGAAGTCCACACTGTCTGTGATGGAAAGATTCAAGAGTGTTAGAACTGTAGCAACTGTAGCACTGTAGCACTTGCTGCGAGATACGTGTGGATGTGCCACAGCCTGAGAGACAGCAGGTGAATGTGTGTGTGTGTGTGTGTGTGTGTGAGTG